GTGGTGCGGTGAATTCAACTTGTTTCGATTCTGGTCGAGTCGGTTGGAAATTTCTCTTTCAGGTCGATGAGAGGCTCCAGAAAAATTCGCTGGAGCGTTCGTCCCCTGCCACTGGCGGGTACGGACCGCATCCTCGCATTTCGAGTGAGTAACGTACTCCTTTGCCAACTCGAAATGAAGCGATGGGCCAGGGCTGAGTGGTTCGACCCGAAAAAAAAAAAAAACTTATTTCTTTTGCCCGAAATTTCCTGTGAGTTTAGACAGAATTCAGAAAATTCCCCGCGAATATTGCAGGAATTATTGGAATTTCCAGCAAATATTGTCGAAATTATGAGAATTCCATGAACAGTGCTCGAATTTTCTTTCTCTGTGGACTTGTAGCCATTTTGGCAATGTATTGACCCAAAAAAAAAACGAAGTGTAATTAGGTTTAATTTTGTGCTTAAATCTGAGTTAATCAAATTAAAGATAGCCTTACACAGAGAAGATAAACTTTTCTTAAGAGATTTTCGCTCTTTCTGGCATATTTCGATTTTAACCATAGGGCAAAGAAAATTGCTCTAGAGAGTTGCCGCTAAAGTCCTTCGAAAGTGGAAGAAATGAGCGAGGAATTAGTAAGCGAACTGGCGCGTTACAGTTTCACAATTTCTTCCTATCGTGGAAATTGAAATGCTGGGGTGAAACAGCTTCTGCAGTAACGATGGAAAGCGTAATTGCCTTCGAAACTCGCAGGCGTCGCAAGAAAAATGTAATTCAAAGATTGGCTCATTGCGGAATCGACGGGAACTGGCTTAAACAGTAGCAACTTAATAAGGCTTAACAAATCCCCTTGCGAGAAGAAAATCAGGAAAGTGGTCAAATCAATTTGAACTGGATGGCGTGCCAAATAATTGCGAAATGAAGCCTAGCAACGAACTCGCGACTGCACACAGATGAAGCACCGACGCCAATTGGCATCGTGGCCAGGAATCCCGGCCACGAGATTACACGATCAGTTTACACATAGCGCCTTGCACTTCAGCAAGATAGGACGAAAAAATTCCCCTCCGATACCTGACCGCTATCCCCAAAGGGCACGGCGACAGGGCCGACGCGATGCAGAGACGACGTGGGCACGATCCCTCACCTCATCTGTTCCCAGAGTCCACGGGGCAGTTACGATACGATCCTCTCCGGACCCATCGAGCCGCCAATGACTGAGTTTAGTCAATTTCCACCTTTCCAGTGAGGTCACAGATTGGCCCTTATTGCCATTTTTCAGCTGCGAATTCGGCGAATAATTTTCCCCGGTCAACGACGCTAAGGGTTAACACAACAACTTCTCTTTCATGTCCTGAAATATTTGTTCCAAAAAAATGGAAGGCAAAAACATTTGTAAACTTATATGTGTGGAAAAGTGGAAAAGAGTCGCTGCTCTCCAGTTGATCTTATTCCACGTTATCACGATCCACGATTTAGTAACTTAAGAGTTGTAATTATATTGGTTGCAATGAGAGCTATCCGGGTTCCTTTAGTTACGAAAGGCCATTTTTAAATAGTAATTGGAGAAAATTTTGAAAGGGTGAATTAGGTTCATTTTGTGGCTTTGGAGTGGAATTTTTTTTTCATATTTGTGGCGTGAAAAATTTGCAGGTTATGTACAGTCGTGATAATGGTGAAGTATTGACTTTCTTTGGTATTGTCTTGCACAGGTGTTGTCCTGCTAATGTATTGAATATTTCCATAATTTACTGAGCGAACAAGCAAAACTTGTCGGTCGGCTCCTCAGTCGCCGCTTCGTTCGCTTGTGTGGTCCGTCAATAAGGAGATACACGATATTGCGATGAGGGTTTTATTGCTTGGTACGATTGGGAAGCTCAATGGACCGCCGCGACAGGGGAAGGACAGGGGCGGCGCGGCCGAGACTCGCAGAGGTTCCCGAGGGGACGCCGAACGCACGAAGGAGGTCTCCCCCGAGGAAGGACCCTGCGAGCAAGGGCATCGGGGATCCTCCGCTCCTACGGGAGTTTCTGAGGACCCCGTCATTTGTGTCGCGAGGTCCTGTCCCCCGATGTCACCACAGTCGCAAATGGATGGCCCGAAACGACACTAAATACGGGAAATTTTTGGATTAAAATCAAGATTCCTTCAAAACTGGAAAAATGCATATTGTCAGCGGAGAGTAGAACTGCGATGTTTCTCTTTCTTCAAATTCATTATAAACTTGAATATTCATCAAATTTACGACCACCTTCAGGAAGCATGTTGTCAATTCGCGAATGCCCACAACACAAGACAGGAATGCAGTTTCAAAAGAAAATCCCCCAAAACGAAAGTACATTGGATTGCGCTTAATTGGGCTTAACAGAGGTTAATGAGGAGCGGGAATTTATTGGGGTATTTTGTCGCGTTCGGAATCATTTTTATGCACTGGATTAAAATATTCGTCGCATTTTCGGTTAGTTTGTCAATCAGTTCAAAAGAAAAGTCCAAAAAATGAAAGTATTTGATGGAAAATTAGAAGTCACGATTCCCCCATGCTAGCCATCCCGTTCGGGCCAACTGTATTACCTGCTTCCATAATGTCATTATAGAGAGTTATTTGGACCCAGTGAAGTTTGAGAGAGGTTTCTAATGTCCATCACCAACTGTCCGGATGGTGATGGAAATAGTATCCTATAAGCTCCCCCTCGATTCGTGATAACAGTCGATCCTGATCGTTGAGCTCCTTCGTTGGATGCCTACCCTATACTCGTGCACTCTCTCGAGATCCATTTTATGTGAAGCCGGATGAGGGAAATAAGGGGTGGGTGACGGTCGCATTCGTCGCTACGTTCGTCGCAGTCGTCGCGTCTTCCCGTAGCCGCTGGACGAGGAGGGCCACGTCCTTCTCCATGGTCGAGGGAAGCTGGTTGGGGTGGACCCGCTTGAACGGCTTCCCGTTCCCGTCGACGAGGAACTTCTCGAAGTTCCAGCGGATGTCTCGGTTGTCCAATGGCTGATAGAAGAGACGATCCGTGCGGCTGAACTTGTTCGTCGTTGACGGGCACACGGTCTGGCATAAAAAAAATGGGGGGGGGGGGAACTGGCTGATATAAAAAAAGACCATGTAGCTGTAATTTTAAGCAAATCTCTCCAAGAAATTGCAAGTTTTTTTAGAAATGCAGTTCATTTTGCGATATTCGGTAGTCGATAGCTGCTGGTACCGTAAAGTGAAATGAGGTTGTCATTTGGATATTGATCATTCGACAACATATATCCGAAAATAATCGTGTCTTAGTGGCTTTTTGACAGCATTTTTAGTGGATACCTTGAGGTACTCGTAGAGGGGATGCTGGCCCTTCCCGTTGGTCTCGATCTTCTTGTAGAGGGGGAAGTTGGGCTCGAAGCCTTTCCCGGGTCTCACGTGTTTAATTCCGTTCATGATTTCCTCCAGCGTCGCTCCCGGCTCTTGCTGAAATAAAATCAGAGAATAATCATGCTCTCAAGAATTTATTTAGTTTACCTTGTTGGCATTTCGAGGTTGGAGATTTCGGAACAAAATCAAATTATTCAATCATATAGAAAATGAAAAATCAAAGCGGGAGTTGTTCGCAAATGTTCACGTCATTCTCCTGCAGAGCAACTACCGGCATTCATAATTATGAACTGTCAAGACAAAGTTAGAAGTATCAGCACCTTCATTGAAGCCCACCTAACAAATTTTCTCCACTTTTAACAATCGGAAAAATTTATCCCCCCCTCAAATTTGACTCTTTATCTGGACTGTATCGACATAAAATAAGGGGAGGTGCAACAATGACACGTGGATTTGTGAAAAGGGTCTTTCCCAAGAAAGGAAGCATTCCGGCTTACTTGATGCTTAAAGAAAATTGCATTATATAGCTTGAATAATCCCTCCAGCCTTCTCCAGAGAAATACTGTCACGATTCATTTATCCGGCCGTATGGAAATTGCTTAAACATTTTTACAAATATCGAATCCAAAATATGCTGATTTTTTCACCGTTAGGAAGTGAAAACTAATTGAACAATTTGGTATTTTTTGTTGGATAGTGTAAAACCAAAAAATTCAGACCAGGCCGAATTGGTGACAGGGGAATCCGAGCACGACGAGCTCGCCCCGGAATTTCTCTTGGAGTGCGTTCAGTTCGGGGTAGGTGGCGGACGTGAGGCCTCAGAATGTCGCCACGTTCACGATCAGCACCACCTGGATCGTTAGATGTAAGACAGGCTGGAATAATAACTTCAATGATGGGAGATACATCATGAACTGAAAGTCGTGAAACCTGAATATTTTATAAGACGGTAACCAAAATCTTGGATTTGAACAACACCAGTCCTAATTATCGTTCAGAAGCGTGGGGTATGTAAAACAAAATCATAAAAAATGAAAAGACTTTGCGTTCACATGTAAAAACCTATTGAAAATGAATATTTTTGGATTTTGAAGTCAACCAACGAATACCCTGCTCTCAAAGTAGTCAAAGAAGGATAAACTACTGAATAGATTCATAGCATCCTCTTCCGAGATTCATGTTATTAAATTGCCCAGAAGTGGGAACTAAATACTAAGTAATTAAGTAAAATGAGCGCTTATATGTTCCTTCGCAAACGGACTGACCTTCCCGCGGAACTCGGAGAGGCTGACATTCCTGGAACCGTCGAGGAGTTCCTCTTGGAACTCGTAGATGGTCCTGGGATCGCTCTGGTCGCACAGGGACTCCTGGCCGAGGGTCACCCACGGCAGGAACATCCCGCACAGCAACGTCCCCAACCCGAGGGGATTCATTTTTGCTCTCTGTTGCACTTCACCTTAAAGGATGCTCGGTCGCGCTTTATCTGCACGGACTAGAGGCGATTGAACGATGACACGCGTTGAAATGAAGTGTTCAATCTCTTCACAAGTGGTTGGACCCCTCGGAGAGGCGGGAGATATGATGATTCCACTCTCGTAATTCAATACTCTATTTTCGTAAACTGCTTTGGCTTCATTTATGCTCTGCCTTTTGAAAATTAACAAAAAATTTTCATTTTTGAGTTTTTGTCGTTTCTCTCGGTCTCATCGAAAATGGACTAAATATTGTCCTCCTTCAGTAACCTAAATTGCGTTTAAGTATCGCGGTTTCCGTAGCGGGCACTCGAAAGTACTGTACGGAGGATCGAAATAGTGGGCCGGGGCCGAGCCGCTTCGAATTGGAAAACTTCTTTCTTTTACTCGGAATTTCCTGGGAATCTGGTCGAAATTTAGGGAATTTCCTGGAAAACATGTAAAAATAAAGGGAATTCCCTGGACAGGGCTTTGAATGGTAAAAGCAAGGCCGCGCAGGGGAAACGACCCAGAGCCCATGGAAACGAATTTTCCATCGAGGGGAAAAAAAAAATTCGGAATAAATTCGGGTGGGGGGGAGAAAAAAAAAACGGAAATACAGTACTTTCTGGCTTCATTCGAGTACTGAGCGATGAAGACAATGTAAGACGGATGCGAGGCTCCGTCAAAGGACGCTATCAGCCTTTTCCTTCATTTAGCGGATGAAAGGGCTGATTGTTTTGTCTGATGGGAAAATATTTTGGAATGAGAACTTGCATACTAGCTATGAATGATTTGGGGGAAAAAAGAGCGAATGATGAGCAAATGAAATATTGCAGTGAACGTTGCAAAACGATTTTCGTCAAATATTGGACTTTCATGATCATCAGAAGCGCATGAACACTGAACATGAACACATGACATTCAAGCAACATTGATTCAACATCCTGGCGTTTAACCAACGTCGAATCAATGTTGATTCAAGGTTATGTGCTACTAGGGAATAATCCCAGTATGAATTGTGTGTGACACCCTGGAAAAACGAATGTGGGAGGGGGGGGGGGGGGTTGGACAAGAAATCCATTCAAGATATGCACGCCAGGAAAGGAAGGAACGAAACAAAAGTTGAAGGTCGGAGCCGGATTGCTTATTCATGCAGGATTTTCCATATGCGATATTCCGCAGTTGTCCGTCAGCAGACAGATAAAGGGGAATTCTTGCCTTGCCCTTGATGGGGAAATCCTCCGAAGGCCAGCCTCCACGAAACTTGGGGAGGCCGACATTCCTGGACCTGACATTCCTGGGTCCGTGGAGACGTTCCTCTTGGAACCCACAGACGGTCCAGGGATCCTCTTTGTCTCGCGGGACTCCTGGCACCTGGTCGCAGGCGGCAAAACCGCTTTTCCGGTTGTGCGGAAGGCCTTCCTCTAAAAGGGTGGACCTTCCTCTAATAGGGCGGCCCTTCCTCTAATAGGGCGGACCTTCCTCCAAATCTCGCATGAATGCTACGCTTCTATCGCTATTGCAGGTCGCATGTAGCATTTTCATTTTTCAGTTGAACACTATAAGGGGCAAGAAATCTGCATCTTTCATGAAGTCTGACGGCTTCATTTACGACTGCCTCGTGGACCGGGCTGCGTTTCTACTTCTCGGTCTCCCTTACGGGTCACCGATGGACTTAACTCCGGCGTCATAATTGCGGTGGACGTTATTTCTTCCCGGTAAGAAAAGTGCCGGCTCAGAAACCCTGAAATTGAGAATTTTTTAAATATCTGAATATAGCAAAAAATCCATTGATGGTAATGCTCCAAAAAAATTGTGCGAATAATTGCAAACTCGACCTTTGGGCACAATTAGGTTATTTGGCAAAAGTTGAAGAAATCGAAGCAATCCGATACGGAAGGAACAGACGCGAGTACGAGCCCAAACTAGCTCCAAGGTGCCGAACAATACGTCGACACAGGAATGAATGGAAGCCGAGGCGCTAAAATTAGCGTAATTTAAATCCAAGATATTATTTGCGACTGCGAATCGTCGCGGAGGGAGGGAAGGCGTCGCAAGGGAGCGGGACGCAGCGGCAGCGAGCGGCGCGAGAGGCGAGTCGATTGAGGAGGTCGACGCGCGTCCGAGCGCCGCTCCCGCGACGCGGCGAGGTGGGCGGAAATGCTCGGGTCAAGCCCAAAATCTTATGGGATTCCAGAGGAAACATGTAGGAATTCTATAGGAATCCTATAGGAATCTTATGGGATTCCAGAGGAAACATGTAGGAATTCTATAGGAATCCTATAGGAATCTTATGGGATTCCAGAGGAAACATGGAATTCTATAGGAATCCTATAGGAATCTTGTGGGATTTTTGCTTTTCAAAAATCGTGTAGAATCCTATAGGACTTTTCTGGAAGGGAAACGAAACGAAAAATGGTCGGGTTCGAACGAACGGGCACTGCGCTCCAGTTTTTCCATCCCTCGTTGCGAAACGGGGGCGGCTTCCGTGGAGTGGGGACCATCTGGCCTGGCCGGCCCCCGGACGCGAGGTAACGCCCGATGCGTAATGAGTGGGGCGTGAAAGGAATGGCAGATCCTGTTGATTTTTAGCGGGACATCCGGGAAGAGCCGGTCTATTCCGTCTCTTTCCGTCCGTGAACTTCATTTCCGTCGGAATGGAGAGGAATCTCGGGTAATTTCTTTTTTTTTTTAAATATTATTTAAAGGCCAAAGCCTTCCCTGGACAACGTCCTCCGTTAAGAATGAGTAGTTTGGAAACTAAAACCAAATCCTGGTTAGATTAAATTTCGTGCCGAAATCTAGATTAATCAGATTAACAATTGCCATGCAAGAAGAAAAAACTTTTTTTTTAAAGGTCTCTTGCCTTTTTCGCTTTTTTTTTTAATACTTTTTTTTTTCCTCGTTTCAATTTCGACGCCACTGCGAAGAAAAAAAACAGAGAAAGAAAGTTCGCAAACTCGCGCATTCCAGTTGCACAATTTATTCCCCTTACGCAAATCGAAATGCTAGCGCGAAACAGGTTCTGCGACGCCGAAGGGAATTGCAATTCCCGTCGAATCTCGCAGACTTCGCTGGGAAAATGTCATTCCGAGATTGGCTCATTGCGAGGAATCGGGGGGAACTGGCTTAAGCAGTCACAACTTAATAGGGCTTAGGAATTTCCCTTGCGAGAAGAAAATCAGGAACGTTTTCCTTATTAATTTGAACTGACCGACCAGATAAATGTTTGGGAAATGAGGCTAGGCAACGAACTCGCGACAGCACACCGACGAAACACCGACGCCAATTGGCATCCTGGCACGAAATTGCGACCATAAAACCACACGATCACTTCGCACATCGCACCTCAGCCCCGTAAGTCCAAAATTTCCCTGAGATCCCAGAACGCGATCCCATAAGGGCACGCGAAGCAGGCGACACTGCAGGCGCGAAGCAGGCGCGATGCAGGCCCGATGCAGGCGCGATGCAGGCGCGATACTGACTGCTCCACCTTATCTGTTCCCGGAATCCACAGGGCGCTTACGCAACGAACCTGTCCGGGCCCATCGAGCCAACAAAGTCAGAGCGTGCTCAATATCCAACCCATTGGTATCCAACCCGATTCGCTCCCAGTGCGTTCACGGATTGGCCCTAATTGCCATTCTTATTCCCATCCTAAGAATTCGAGGAATAATTTTTTTTTTCGGACAATGAGGCCAATGAGACCTAGGTTAACAGGCAACAGTTACTCTTTAATGTCCCGAAATATTTGTTACGAAAATAAAGAAGTTGAACTTTTCAACTATTATCTTAATGAAAGAAAACGTGCAAACGAAATCGTCTTCAGCGTTATCTCGATGCACGATTGACAATTCAAGAGATAATATATATATATTTGTTCTAATGAAAGCTAGCCGGGTGGATATGTTGAAAAGGCCATTTTGAAAAAGTCTAGGAAGGAAAAGGTGAAATAGTGAATTTTGCTGAACCTGTGGCTTCGGAAAATATTTTTTTTATTACTTCATATTTGTGACGTGAACTTTTTGCAAGTAACGTGCAGTCCTGAGATTGTTGTGGTATTTACTCCTCTTCGGTATTGCCTTGCTTAGGTATTGTTCTGCTTTGGTATTTCCACAACTTACCAGCTGAACATGCAAAATTCATCGGTCGGCTCTTCATTCGCTTGGATGGTCCGTCAATAGGAAAATACACGGTTTTGCGATGAAGGTTTTATTCCTTGATATCATCAGGAAGTTCGTTGGACCGCCGCGACACGGGGGAAGGGTGGAGGCGGCGCGGCCGAGACTCGCAGAGGACCGCGAGGGGACGCTGAACGCACGAAGGAGGTCTCCCCCGAGGAAGGACCCTGCGAGCAAGGGCATCGGGGATCCTCCGCTCCCGGAGGAGTTTCCGAGGACCCCGTCATTTGCGCCGCTCGGCTCTGCCCCTGTGCACGGCGGAATCCAGCATGCTCCAAAACGAGACCGTAAGAAAAGGCCGAATTCGTTTCGTTATTGTTCATAAATGTCCTGCCGGGGCATTTAAGAATTAGACATTTGGGAATGTGTACCACAAGTGGAGGGTGGATCTGCGAGGGTGAACATTGCCTCAATCTGGATATCACCTAATGATGTGATAAATGACTTCTTGTTTGGGAAAGTTACTCCGAATGTAGTTCTTCTGCATGGAAAATTTGCCGAAATTTCTGAAAACGATCGCAACATATCAATTGTTTTGGAAGGTAGCTTAATAGTACTAATAGAACTGGCCGAGACTGAAGATGGAAGAAAGGATTAAAATACAACCTTCTCCCTTTCATTTTGCACTTTCCAAGGAAACTTGGGAATTTCAAAGAACTTGCTCGTAGCTCTACGAGGTTGTTTCAGTGAATCCCATCTTGGATTATCCTGGATTACTCCACATCCATCGCGAAGAAAAGGTTTTGAAGGACGATAGTGAGAAAGTGGGATGTTTTTGGATTCCACGGATCTACCTTCCACTTGGGCGGCCTCCCACGACTCGTTTTAGGTGAAACCGGAGATGGGGAAGAAGGGGAATGGGAGGATCCGGGGGATCGCGGTGGCGTTGGCGGTGGGAGCCTCCTCGGTCGTCGCAGCCGTCGTCGCCGCGTTCGTCGCAGTCGTCGCGTTTTCCCGTAGCCGCTGGACGAGGAGGGCCACGTCCTTCTCCATGGTCGAGGGAAGCTGGTTGGGGTGGATCCGCTTGAACGGCTTCCCGTTCCCGTCGACGAGGAACTTCTCGAAGTTCCAGCGGATGTCTCGGCCGTCCAGCGGTTCGTAGAAGAGCCGACTCGTGCGATAGAACTTGCTCGAAGTTGACGGGCACGCGCTCTGAAGGAAAAAAAAGGGAAAACCCGGATCGTTTTATCTGCTGTTGGAAACGGCAAAGGTTAATAGTTCAAAGACGAGAGTGAATGTGTATCCAGTGAAAATGATCTTTCTTTCGCAGGAATTTAAAAGCTGAATCTTCCATAAACATCAAATTTATGCGTTTTATTTTCTCTGTATCCGATACCCGACGCTGAAGTCGTATAAAACGCAATGATATTCATCTATCACCTCGGCAGGGAATCACCGCGAAGAAAAGCTTTTCTCACGAATCAGGCGTTGAAGAGTTGGTCAGTACCTTGAGGTATTCGTAGAGGGGATGCTGGCCCTTCCCGTTCGTCTCGATCTTCTTGTAGAGGGGGAAGTTGGGCTCGAAGCCTTTCCCGGGTCTCACGTGTTTCATCCCGTTCGTGATTTCCTCCAGCGTCGCTCCCGGCTCTTGCTGGAGAGAAAAATTGAGCCGATCTCGATTGAGCCGATCTCGATTCCCCAGAATTATTCGTCGAATTCATCGATTTCACTGCCGTGTTTTATGACAATCAGGCGATGAAAAGCACTTCCAAAGAGAGCTAACAGGTAGGAAGAGGCTGTCCGTGAAAGTATAAGGCTCTTACTAAAAATAAATCATTAAAGCAGTCGTAATATTAATTATTTCAAATGCAAAAGCTTTTGCCCTCAACCCAAGTGGACAAAACCTGTCACAACTCTTTTAGAAATTGTCAAACGGCGACGGTGCTCCTGCCGGGGAAAAAGAATGGTCAAGCAGAATATCATAATTCTTCAGTGTCATGAATAATATATATATATTAATATTGAGGAATATTGATGAATATTGAGGAACAATAAGAATTCGTTCGGCATTCTTGTGCTCGTGTGAATAGAGTCCGTGGAACTGGTTTGTCTTGGGCCGAAAAATGTTGCATTGCGCAACGTGATGTAATCTCTCCGTGACCGGGATCAATGATGGAATCCGGATTACCACCGGACCTTTCATTTTGCTTTTCGAAAAAGCTCCGGACTGGCTCCAGGCCTGAACGTTCGTTGGCTGCCGGAAGTCATTATCAAAAAAATACTACATATTCCAACATTGAATCAATTTACATAAGTTACCTCATTGGTAATAAACATACCCTGGCCCTTTTCCCTAGAGGAGCAACAACCCAATTACCAATGAAGTAATATCTTAAAGAACAGAATGATCCAGAAAGGTCATGCCGCTAAGCCCGAGCGCTGCCACGCCCACGAGTAAAAATAAATTCTGACCAGGCCGAATTGGTGACAGGGGAATCCGAGCACGACGAGCTCGCCCCGGAATTTCTCTTGGAGTGCGTTCAGTTCGGGGTAGGTGGCGGACGTGAGGCCTCAGAATGTCGCCACGTTCACGATC